TACTGCACCGGTGCAAGTGCGCACATTGCAGACTGAGCTGAGCTGAAAGCTGAAAAAGCTCGCTGAAATCAGCTCAGCTTAGTTTGATCGATCAAGCATGTTTGTTTTTTCAGCAAGCTGATTGCTGATTTTGTTCAAGTGTATTGGTTCATAAGTGATCGAAGATGGGCTGCAAAACATTTTTAAGCGAAATTACGGTTAACCCAGCGCTGGGGAATAAGCGGGACTATTAAAAATATTTGAATAATAGTTTTATTTCTATAATTTCTGGAAGGCGATAAATTGGGCAAAAAAGTTTTATTATTTACCATTACCAATGTAATGTAAAAATGTAATAATAATTCGTAAAATAAAAGTAATACGAATACAAACTCAACGGAAATGTGGTTAAAATACACTAACGAAAAAAACGAAGAAAACTTCCGTCTGGCTACTGTACGTGCTGTGAAGTAATAATTCATTAACAATATAATAATAATAATTATTATGATATCTATTGATGCCACTTAAGGAGATAGACAAAGGGAGGCAGTGGTTTTCAGCTTTCAGCAATCAGTTCAGCCGACAATGTACGCACCTGCAAGCTGATTCTGCCTGAGAAAAGCTCTCAGATCAGCTGAGCTTTCAGCTTTGATTTCAGCTCCGCTTTCAGCTACAGTGTGCGCGAGCCCTTAGAAGTGAAGCAGATGAATACGCTAATGTAACACTTCATCGGAGGCCTCGTGCGGATTTCGGATCGATAGAAAAGGTCAATAGTAATCTACTCCAGTGATTTCAAAAGCTCGATATCCTTTCAAAAGTTCCTTAGGTAGGTCTCCCATTATGTGTTTAACCATGCGCGGCCTAGTCCTGAAGCTCAGAAACGGTGAGTCCTGGATGCCTAAGTCGATGTATAAATTTCTGCATGTAGCGGAATGTGCGCAATGTCGAATTTGCAAATTTTCATCCGGACGTAAGATCGGCATATGGAGATGTGACTAGCAATACTCGCTTGCAAAGCTTCAAAGTTGCCATGTCGGTAGCAGGAGATACAGGCCACTTATCCTTGGAGCCTAGCAAAAATGATGGGCCATTAAACCATAGCTCTGACTGGATAAAATGGCTGGGAAGCGAGCCTCTCGGAAGAATATCAGCAGGATTTAAAGATGTGGGAACATAGCGCCATTCCATGGCTGCCGTCAACTCCTGAATTGAGGCCACTCGATTTGCCACGAAAACTTGAATTTGGCTGGCTTGTCCCTAATCCAAGATAATGCTGTTGACGAATCCGACCAGCAATAAAACCGACCTTCCCTGGACACGTCATATACGCAATCGCCATATTATTCTAAGCTGGCATTGTAGAATCCGTGAACTTCTGTAGCCACACTAGAACGAAGAACCACCCGAGGAAATGAGATCCGAGAAATGCTTGCCAAACTGTTTCTCAAGTCCTTCCAAGGTGAATGCAACGCTGAGGGTAGGCTTTCATCCCAATCCAAATGTTGGTTCTGACAATGACTGGATATATTAATCCAAGAGGGACGTAGAACCGCGCAATCGTAGATAAAACCGACCGCTTTAATGGTTTTGAGTTTGTGTCCAGTGCGGACAAGGCAAAAAGCAGCTGATCCGAAGCAGGGTCCCACGCTAAGTCGAGAGTTTTGGCTATGTCGCTTCCATCATTAAACATTAGGAACTTCTCTATGTTCTTTAGGGGTTCCCACAAGAACTTCCTGGTGACTGGAGCACCATTTTCTAAGTTTAAAATTAGCACGGGACAGTAAAGCTGATGTTTGGTGCATCTTGTCCATGAACTGTGCGACCGAATTACCACCCGAAATAAGGTCATCCACGTAAAATTCCTGCCGCAGAGCAGCTGAGCCAAGATGGTAGGACTCACCCTCGTCAATGGCCAGCTGGTGCATTGCGCGGACCGCTAAAAATGATGCAGCCCTCGTCCCGTATAGGACGGTGTCCAATGTGTAGACTTGAACGTCGGACTCGATGGAATCTCTAAAATGGCACGACTAGGAACTAAAACGCCAGACCGATTCTTAACGAGAACCACGACTGTAGCCAGAAGCACAACATCAGAGTGAAGACGTAGGGCAACAAGAGAGGTACACGAATGTAGATGCAAGCTGCTAACAGAATTTTGAGCAACGGAAAGAGTTTCTGGTTGAACGGTCAGATCGGGAGAAGTATTACCTGGGCAGCTTTGTGTTGTGGGCTGATGCCTATCAAACTATGATGCCTATCGCCGCATACTCGATATTTTCTACTATTGCATGCGCGGGTCCGGTGCCCCGTTTTTAGGCAATTGAAGCATAGGGAAAGCTTCTTCACTTCTTAGTGGCGCAGCAACGGTGAAAGATTTCCGAATATCTTGCAGGAGCATATTCCATGGCCCGCTGTGTGGCAAAAGACGCATGCAGACGGGTCGGCGGAAGAGTTGGAAGCTACAAACGTTTTTTTAACATGCATTTAGAAATGGTTTTTTTCACTGTAGCCTATTCCAACAGCTCTGTTTGAACACGGAGCGTTTTCCGCATTAATGTCTATTCACGGATGCGAGTGTTAGTTTTTAGTAAACGAATTAAATTTAATGTATGAGTTAGCAGTGTAAGAAAAGTCGATGGATACGTGTGGGCGTGAGGCAATAACTCTTTATTACAAATCTTAGTGCTTGAGCACTGGGCATAAGAGAGACTCTACTGTGGTGAATTTGTTACAATGATTGTGAGAGTAATTATACAAAGTGAGCGTAGGCTATCTATTTTACGACGGTCATTCCAGTAGTTTTTTGTGAAAAGAGTTTGACGGAACATCCCGGCCCCGTTAAAAAAAGTGCTTTCAATCGGCCTAGTTTCCATCGTAGCGGTGGCAGGTTGTTCTCATGGATGATGACCAACCTGCCCTCGGTGAGGTTTGTTGAGGGTGCTGTCCACTTCGTGCGCGTTCGCAATTCGTTGATGTAGTCAGCAGACCATTTCTTCCAAAAATCGTTGCTTGACGGCCGTAATCGCGTCCATATTTGACAGCTTGATATTCTCGAGGGACCTCTCAGGTAGTGATCGCAATGATTCGCCAACCAAGAGATGACCAGCCTTGAGAGTGCTGTAGTCATTTGGGTCTGACGAAAGCGGCGATAACGGGCGCGAGTTGAGGATTGATTCTTTTTCGTCGACTACAGTGCTCAACTCTTCAAAGGTGAACCTGGGTTGGCCAGCGTACGTTTCAACAGCCCCTTTGCACTCTTTACGGTCGCTTCCCAAAGGCCTCCGAAATGAGCTGCCCTGGGGGGAATAAAATGTAAATTAATAAAATCAGATGAGCAAAAATTATATATTTCATCTTGGGTCTGGTTTATGAACAAAAACCTTTTTTAGTTCCTGCAGATGATTCGATTCCCCTACAAAGTTAGTGGCATTATGGCAACTTCACTGCGTTCAAAAGGTCGAGCCCATGAGTTGTTATAGCCGCTTTGGTCTGTAGCGAACGCAGTGTACATAGCAGCGGAAAATTCGACGTGCCAAGTCTCATAGTTTCATACAAATTTGGACTGACTAGACAGCAGCAACGGATGGTTTTGACCGTCTGGTAGGTCTTAGTATTACAATCGTCCACCAACCTTGATAAGTTCAAGTCCGTTTACGACATCTAAAAAGCAAGAAACTTTAAGCTGCTTTTTAATGGTTTTTGCTTCTAAAGTAGACAGATGTCCTCTGCAAAATGAGATGTTGTATGTTCCAGATAAGTCAATGTGAAGCAAAACGAAATTTATCTGGCGTCGGTGAGGTTGTGGTATTGTTGTTTCCAATATCTCCTATGAACCGTACCATCCAAGCAATGAGACACAGACTGTCAGTGTACGAGCTTTGTCTCCTGTACGGTAGCAAACAAACTTTTCTATTTCTTCGAGTTGATCACGTCCATGTGAACATCAAATTTTCCACCAGTGGCGGGCCAGTTTCGCGAATTCTTGACTAGAAACGCAGGACCCGAAAACCATGGAGAATTGATCATCTCGCTCACTTGATCAGCCTCGTTACAGAATATCAGCAGGGTTTTGATGTGTTGGCACATTGCGCCATTTTCCATCAGAAGCTAAGTCCTGAATATCGGACACTCCATTTCCAACAAAGATCGATAAGGTGACTGAGTGTTGTTGCAGCCAATGCAATACGAGCTGTAAGTCGCTCCAAAAATAAGATGTGATAGTGTATTTACTGAATATGGCCTTGATTTTGTTATACAACTGAGAAAGTAGATGTGCACCGCATAGTTCAAGGTTCGGCAGAGACTGTTTCTTCACTGGTGCTACTCTTGACTTAGAAGTGAACAATTTTTCTGTGACCTGTCCAAGCGAATCCTCCGTGCGCACATTAGCACAGCAGCCGTATGCCCGAATAAATGCGTCGTAAAATCCATGTATTTGAATGCTCCTAGTGTCGGGCTGAAAACAAAAACGAGGTACCGCTAGTGACGACAGTGAATTCAACGATTCCAAATAAGTACTCAATGCATGACTTTAATTCTGGGGGACAGAGCTGTCCCAGTCGAGTTTCAAAAGCCACAACTCCTGAAGAATGATCTAAGAGAATATGACTAACGGTGATAGTAGACCGATTGGATCGAATAGCGACGACACAGTAGACAAAATTGTTCGTTTTGTGGTAGTGGTTCCTTTAGATTGAAAGTGAAACTAAATGCATCACTACGTTGATGCCAAGTTACGCCGAGTGTGCTGCTTAGTAGATTCATCTTCCATCATGCCTGGATGATTTGAATGCCACATGCATAATGGAAACTAACCACAAGGGAGAGTTGATGTGATTTCAGTTTTTAGTTTGACGAATGTATCTCTATAATATCAGCCTCACACAAAAGGTCATCCCCATAAAAGGCAAGCAGCTGCTCCTAAGAGCCATACAACCTTAGAATCCTCAGCCAAGTAATGTAAACTACGAGTTGCGAGAAATGAGGCAGACGCAGTCCCATATGTATTGATTTTCTTGCCGTCACACTGTTAACATCCACAATGGCGAATACATCAAGTACCGGCGTTGTGGTGCCACGAAATTTCCGCTTACTGGAGGAGCTGGATCAGGGCCAGAAGGGTGTAGGCGATGGCACCATCTCGTGGGGTCTGGAGAACGACGATGATATGACGCTCACCTACTGGATCGGCATGATCATTGGTCCGCCTAGAACCCCATTTGAGAATCGAATGTATTCACTAAAGATTGAGTGCAACGAACGCTATCCGGATGAGCCGCCCACGGTATTGAGTTGGTAGGCTTGAAGATCCGTATTTGGAGATGCTCGCCACAAAATGTACTGTGATTTTCTATCCTTCTCACTCACAAGTACCTGCATGTACATTTTTGTAACGTCAGCCGTAATGCCGAACCTGTGAATGCGGAACCGTAGCAATTGCAAGTACAACTCATCCTGGATGGTAGGGCTGACTAAGAGTAGATCGTTAAGTAACCTTTGAGATGTTGTACGGCAAGATGCGTCAAAGACAACTCTGAGCTTCGTCGAGGTACTGCTTGGTTTCAAAGCGAAGTGGTGAGGTATATAATAATAGAGTTCCTCCAAGTTAGGATTCGGTACGAGGGACATATGGCCGAGGCCCTCATATTAGGGATATACTGCGCCCACTACAATTCTCCCACTGGCATCCTTATGTGTTGTGTCACTGAAATGGTCCTCCCAGCAAAAATGATTTGGGAGAATTCTAGCGCTTGGATCGACAAATGAGTTCACTTTCCATAATTGCTGCACATTTTTGTCAATCGATGTTGGCGTTATGTTGGCGTTGGTACCTTCCAGCAACAACCCAACTTAAAAGAGTCTTCTGCAAACTAGGAAGATTTGGATCAATGCGAATCTGGCCCACAGCTAGAGCTCCATAGAAGGCTTCGGTTCCCAGTAGCAGATTAATACGTTTAGTCCTATAGAATGATTCGTCAGCCAATGGAGTGTTGGCAGGTTGGTTCGAATTCGATTTGTCGATCTCACTGTCTGGCTGGTAGGCAATCTTGAGAGTGAGCTGATAGCCATATGTAGACTTAACAGAGGTAGTCGTAAGAGCCTTCAAACTAGTAAGGGAGTCTCCTAAACTACGAATTCCAATGTGGTGTCTTTCACGACGAAGGCGAAGTTTTGGTGCAAAGGTTTCGGTTACAAAATTAACCTGATAACATGTATCAAGCAACGCTCTACCGAGTTTGTATTCACCTGAGGCATTCTTTACCAACACCATAGCTGTTGCCAACAAAATTTGATCATTTTGCTGCGATCTCCATATGAGAGTGTGAAGCAGCTTGATGAGCCTGAGTAGCAGACGTTTGCCAGGGTTTCGCTGGTTGGAGTACCGGTTCTGTCGTTAAAGATTGTCCTGCTGATGATTGTGGAGGCTAATGCAAACAGAATGATGAGTCCGATTACAGGATCAGCAACGATGAGTCGATAAAACATTGTGCCACTCTATGACTGTTTCCAAGACAATTGATGCAGAGACCGAGGCGCTTTGCATTGTCGTACCGTTGGTTGCTGTTCATAACCTTGAACTGAGGGCAGCTAGTGATTTTATGGCCAGAACTAGAACACTGTGTACAAGACGGATTAGTGATAGCAAACGACGAGTTTATTTGGTGATTAGAATGACGATTTGACTTATTGGTAATAGTATTTCGGTGTGACGATGTACCAGTCGAGTTTCCAGACGAATGGAGGCATTCCAAAGGCTGTGTGCATGTTAGCCAGGTTGGCAGAGTTTTGTAGTCCTGCGATTCCTCTCACTTGTTAACGACAATGTTGCCAAAACACCAGCAACCGACACGTGCCGCTCCAAATCGCCAAAATTTCTGGATCAGCGTCTGGACGATATCTCCCAACGGCGAGGGATTCTGGGAAATACCTCGCCGCGGTTGAACTGCTGTCGTTGGATCGCTGCAACATTCCGCGGTCGCGGCTTCAATCAAGCAGTCCTCAATTATTCGTCAAATAAAGAACACGGACTTCGTCCGCAAAAAGGAATATGCTCGGACCATCTGAAGTAACGGCCACATCCCTAACCTTACCGTAAGCTAGTGAATAGACCCTATAAATAATTGAAAAACTGAATGCAGTTTGTGGAAAGTGGATTTAGAAAAAACAGCTTTCTCCGTTAACAACGGAAAATATGAGTTTACAGGACTCCCCTTTGGTCTTCAAAATGCAATATTTCAACGCGCACTCGATGATACTCTACATAAACATATTGGAAAGATATGTCATATTTATATTGATGACATCATATTATTTAGTAAAGACAACAAATCCCATACTAAAAATCTAAACACCATTTTTCGAACTCTGCAAGATGCAAAAATTAAATGTCTGAAAATTTAGAATAGTTTTTCTAAATAAAAGATACCGAAAAACTTGGGTGCGTCCGTTCGTTTTCATAGGTTTTTCTCGACTCCTCTTCATATATTCAAACAATTTCTTCTGCGCCTATCTTACCTACGGTGGCAAAGCGGGGCGAATTCGCCAAGAGCGAGAGAGCGAGCTTTTATTGACCTCCCGCTTTGCCCTAGCCTAACTTACACCAGACTTCATAAAATACGATCATAATAACAATTATTATACGCCAAATGGCGCTACACCGGCCCCGTTGAAGGCCTGGAAAAACCAGTGGCAGAAGCGCCAACTTGTGGATTAGCCTCCTGAACGTGGCTCCGCTGCTCGTCCTTAGGTCGAGCACTCTGACCCTTCCGTCCTGCCCGGCGGTTGTTCCGACCACCCTTCCGAGGAGCCACTGTTGAGGGCGCAGGTTGTCCTCGGCGACGATTACGAGGTCGCCTTCCTTGATGTTTGGTTCCTCCTGGTGCCACTTGCATCTTATTTGCAATCCCAGCACATACTCCCGGGACCATCGCTGCCAGAACATTTGCCTGGCTGACGAGACAAGCCGCCATCGCTTTAAGCAGCTCAGACCCTCCTGGTCCGGGGTCCTGGGTGCTGGGGGTGCAATTAGCGGCCCGCCTGTCAGCAGGTGCCGGGAGTCAGCGCGTCTCCGTCGCTTGGGTCTGGGCTTAGGGGTCCTAGCGGGCGCGAGTTGAGTACCGCCTCGATCCCGACCAGCACGGTCTCCAGCTCTTCTGCGGTGAGGAGAGCGCTTCCGACTGCCCGTAGGAGTAGGCCCTTGGCAGTCTTCACACCGGCCTCCCAAAGTCCGCCCATGTGCGGTGCTCGAGGCGGTATGAAGGCAAACTCGCACCCGCTTCTTGACGCAAATTCGCGTATTGCGTCCGCTTCCGCTTCTATTTTCTTCCGCAGTTCGCTGAAGTGACGACTTGCTCCGACGAAATTTGTCGCGTTGTCGCAGTTCACGCGTTGCGGACATCCTCGACGACCGACGAACCTTTGGAATGCCAACAAGAAGAAATTAGTCGTCAAATCGCAGACAATTTCTAAATGAACCGCCTTGGACGCAAAACAGGCGAATAACGTAGGACTTATAAGGCGGCCTTCCACGAATTTTCAGAGTCGTATAGACTGGGCCACAAAAATCAACGCCACATACTGAAAATGGGCGGAGAGCACGGAGCCGGTCTACGGGTAAGTTGCCCTGCAGACCGCCTGAGCATTCACTATCCAAATGCGCTGTCTAAGGATACTCACGAGTGCTCGTGGGCCGGCATGAAAATTCGTTTGATGCAGATAGCGAACGTATGTCTGCACAAACTACGAGCGTTTTGTCAATAAAAAGGGAAACTTGGCACTTGAAAACGAAAAAGAGCACCATGTCCCAGCCTCTTCATGGATGAAGGGATTCAAGCGCTGAAGACTGGGGCCTAACTTGGTGCCTTTACGAACCCTTTCAATATCTTCTTGAGACTCATTTTTCTGTGTTATTTCGACTATTTTTAGAAAAGTTGAGACTTTTGTCTTTGCATTTTCGGATGAAGCGGAACACGAAAACGAACACTCTTAGCAGTTTGAGGTGTGACGAGTATCCCACGATTACATCCACTAAATAATTTGGCTTGTCCGCGACGGTCAGTCCGACCGATTTCTTCCGACTTTCCATCTGTAGCTCTTCTTCGGAAAGCTCGAAGTGTGGATTTCTGGGCCAGCTCTTTTCTTCAAACTTTAAGAACTCTGGTCCACCAAACCAGATCGACTGCACGATTTCCTCTACGTCACAACCTCTCGAAACTATGTCTGCTGGGTTCTGTTTTGTTGACACATGCCGCCACGTAGCTTCACTTGACCACTCTTGAATCTCCGCTACTCGGTTCGCAACGAATGTGGACAACGACGAAGGGTGGGATCTGATCCAATGAAGAGTAACTTCTGAATCTGACCAGAATAGCATTTTCTCAATTGGAACCTTGAGCAGTGATTTGATTCGGTGACAAAGGCCTGCTAGAAGGTGAGCGGCACATAACTCAAGCCTTGGGAGCGTTTTCGTCTTGAGCGGCGCTACTTTCGACTTTGCAGTCAACAAGGAGACCTTGAAACCTTCATCAGTCTTTCTACGGATATAGACGCCAGCTCCATAAGCTCTCATGGATGCGTCGGCAAAGGCATGTACTTGAATCGCTGACATGGGATCAGTATGCACAAATCGAGGTATGGTAATCTTCTCCAACTGACCCAAAGATTCTTTTAATAAGTTCCATGCTGTTTCCAAGTTCATTGGAATTGACTCATCCCAATCTAGCTTGTTAAGCCAAAGCTCCTGCAGTAGGATCTTTCCCTTAATTACTAAAGGACTTAACAAGCCAAGGGGGTCAAACAGCTTTGATGTCACCGATAATATGTTCCGTTTTGTCGCTCGGAGACCCATAACTGACGTGTCAATTTGGAACTTAAAGACGTCTTCGTGTGGCAGCCACGATTTTCCTAACGCCTTAGTTGACTCAGGGTCCGAGATCGTTATCGGTTTAACTGTGCTCTCGGATGCGGTGACCTCAGGTGAGTTCGAAAACCATTTAGTCAATTCAAACCCAGCGGTTTGAAGAACCTGAGCCACATCAGACTTAATTGTCTTTAACTCCTCTACGCAACCAGCACCAGTCAACATGTCATCGACATAGAAGTCGGAGTCAATAAATTCAGCAGAATGAGAGTTTTGCAGACTCACTCAACCTCTTCAAACACCGAATAGCCAAAAATGGGGCTGGTCCAGTCCCATATGTTACGGTGTTGAGCTGGTATATTCTCAGGGACTCAGACGGGTCTCTTCTCCACACTATGAGCTGGAATTGTCTATCCGCATCAGCGACCCAGACTTGGCGA